AGTGAAAGGGACAGATGTTAGTGTTTGTGAGGTTAGAGGGAAATTGGAACCCTCATGCACTGCTAGTGGGAATGTGAAATGGTGCAGCCACTTTGGAAGTGAGTCTAGCAGTTCCTTAAAAGAATAAGCAAGATTACAATAGGACTCAATAATCCCACTCCTAAATATATACCCAGGAGGAATGAAAGCATGTTTATACAAAAACTTATACATGAATATTTATAGCAGCATTATTGATAGTAGCCAAGAGAAAATAGTCTAAACATTCATCAATTTATACATGAAGAAACGCAATTGTTATATCCATACAATGGACTGTTATTTAGAAATGATGATAAATACTGATTTATGCATCAACATGGATGAACTTGGAAAACATGTTAAGTAAAAGAAGCTAGTCATAAAAGGCTACATTTTATATGATTCCATTTATTTCGAATGTCTTGAGTAGGCAAATCTATGTAAAGAAAATGCAGATTTGTGGTTGCCAGATGATCCCTAGTGAGGGTGGTGGAAGAGATTTGGAGAATAACTGCTGGTGGGTGTGGAGTTTCTTTAGGGGGTAAATGTTCTGAGTGTAGATAGTGGTGGTGATTATAAAGGTAAACTGAGGCTGGAGCCGAACCGGGAAAAAAGACACAAGGCAAATGGCAGTGAGAATAGCCTTTATTAGGACTTGCGGGTGAGGTCACGCTGAGGGAGGAGGGTAGGGGCTTTTTATAGCCCGAGAGGTAGGGAAGCTGGTTGTGCAAACAGGGCCTCGGGGGTCTTGAAACTACTAGGGCAGGAGTTGAGTAAGGGTCACGAGGAAGGGGTCTTTGGAAACTGTCAACCGAAACTGTTGTTTACAAACTCGTGGAATGCAGGTGAGCTGCAGGTCATGGGGCAGTGTGGTTGCCCAGCCAGAACTCTGACGCGTGTAAGTCTGCAGGTGTGTACAAGGGTGAAGGGAGTCTTTAACAAAAGGCCTGCTACGCCGGGTAACGCTGCCATGTTGGGTCTAGATTCCTGCCTAACAGTGATTGCACAACTTTATTAAAAATCACTGAAGTATATGGTTTAAAATAATATACTGTGAATTGTATTTTAATGAAGCTGATACTTTTTTAAAGTTATAGTAGTTGATACTTTATCATATTACAAAATTCTTTTTTAAGAGAAAGATTTTCTTTTTTATACTCATATTTGAGTGTACTTTTACAAAGAAGTTTATTAATAACTATTTAAAGCAGATAATATTACAAGCAGTTGAATTTTGTAGATCACATATCAAAAAATTGTTTTGATGATTAACTGGTAATTAAATTAGACTTTTCCTCAATTTCATTAAAAGAATTAAACACCACCTGACTTGGAAAAGGATTTGTTACCTAGTCATTATTTATTCATCTTCTCAAATCTCCAGAACATATCTAAAAAGGCATTGCCAAGTTATATCATAATGACTGTTCATTGTATATGTTGTTTTTTTTTTTTTTTCCCCTTGAGACACCTTGTTTGGCTGGATACACTTGAAAAGGATTGGGAAAATTGAGTTATTGTCTTCTTTAATATACTGTTGCAAAACAATATTTTTCACTGAAGTTCCTTTCTGTGCTCTAAACTAATTGTCAACAAAACGTTTGAACTGCAGCTTTAATTTATTTAACTTATGAGAAATATCTATTAAATAAGTTAGCTGACAATGCCGCTTCTGTCAAACCATTTTTTTCAGTGTTTCATACAAACTCTGTGCATTCTTTGCTGATGAAAGAGTCAAGGTTTTTAACAACAACAACAAAAAATGTCAGCACTGTCATTGTAAATATTTAGATAGCTTGAGTGGGACAAATTGTTTTATTTTGTGAAACAGGAGAAGGGTGGCTGGGAAAGGGGCGATGGGAAGTGATTACTCCCATGGCACACAGGTGTATGTTCTCAGGCAAATCTGTCTTTGAATTTGAGGTTGTGCATACATATTCCCTTAAAACTATGCCCGTGCATCTTCTTGAAGGTCTTTCTGTGTCACCTGGACTGGAGTGCAGTGGCACAATTATGGCTCACTGTAACTTCAACATCCTGGGCTCAAGTGGTCCTTCCACCTCAGCCTCCAGAGTAGCTGGGACTGTAAAGCATGCGTCTTAACACCCAGCTAGTTTTCATATTGCTTGTATAGATGGGTGTTTTCAGGCTAGTCTTGATCTCCCGGACTCAAGTGATCCTCCTGCCTCAGCCTCCCCGGCAGTGCTGGGATTACAGGCATGAGCTACCATGCCTGGCCTCCTTTATATTTATTTATTTTCTGAACTGGTCTCTTGCTCGATTGCTCGGCCTGGAGTGCAGTGGCACAGTCTTGGCTTACTGTAACTTCTACCTCCCGGGTTCACATGATTCTCCTGCCTCAGCCCCCTGAGTAGCTGGGATTACAGGCGCCCACCATGACATCCAGCTTTTGTTTTTCACTCTCATATTTTTAGTAGAGATGGGATTCCATCATGTTGTCCAGGCTGGTCTCAATCTCCTGACCTCAAGTGATCCGCCTGCCTTGGCCCCCCAAAGTGCTGAGATTATAGGGGTGAGCCACCACACCCAGCCTCTGCCACCTTTTTAAAGTCTGTCTGCAGAAGTCTGCTTTCTCGTTTTGAATACTGTAGGTATTCAAATGAATTTAGTAGGTGCTGTTCTACCCTACTGTTAGCCTTTTGCGAATGAATAGCATGGCCTTGAAAAGCATACCTTTATGCATAGTGGTAGTGTATACAGGTATATTTATTTATTTGGTTGTTTTTTATTATTATTATTTATTTATTTATCTATTCTGAGATGGAGTCTTGCTCTTGTTTCCCAGGCTGAAGTGCAGTGGCAGGCTCTCTGCTCACTACAACCTCCACCTCCTGGGTTCAAGCAATTCTCCTGCCTCAGCCTCCCGAGTAGCTAGGATTACAGGTGCCTGCCACTACACCTGGCTAATTTTTGTATTTTTAGTAGAGACGGGGTTTCAACATGTTGGTCAGGCTGGTCTTGAACTCCTGACCTCATGATCCACCCGCCTCGGCCTCACAAAGTGCTGGGATTACAGGCTTGAGCCACCGTGCCACAGGTATATTTCGATGCTGGTACACTTTGTGTTCGTTTGGACTACATTTTGCTAGAGATGATACCTGTGACACTTGTCTGTGCTCTGTGTTCCTCTCCTGCACTTGTGACAGATGTATCTTGCTGTGTATATGGAACCTAGGAATCCTCCACAGCTGGCAGCTTCTACTAGTTGTTTGGAGCTAGAATAAGAGGCGATTCTCTGTGATAGCGATTTTGTTAGTTTTCTTAGTTTGTATCTTTGCTCTTTTTGTAGTTTGGGTTTTCTAATTACTTTATTAATGTGATTTCCTTTTGTTAAACTTTGTTGTCCTTAAACCAGCTTTGGAGACGTGCTGGAAGATAATTTTCCATGGGTCTCACACTTTCCTGTGTGTTTTGTGAACAGAGGCTGTGGCTGCCTTTGTTCTTGTCTATCTTTTCAAGTTTATTTCTATATAAAGTGAGTTGCTTTGGAAGATGCTGTAGTGACTTCATAGCAGCAGTCAGTTTTGCATATCTCCCTGGAAGGTAGAGCTGGTATCTCCCGCTAGTGCAAAGGGATAGGCATCTTTCCCATGATTAAAGATTCCAGCTTCTGAAGTTTAGGGTTTCTCTCCTATAATTCAACATGCTGCATGTGCAGGTGGCATGTGGCCCTATTCAAGTTGCTCTGTGACAACTGGGGCTCAGGGAACTAGAGCCCAGTGGTCACAAGGTAATGTTGATATTCTGGCTACCCCTATTATTGTAAGTAACAAATACCTTGTCTGTCACCCAGGAAACTTCTTTCCTCTGCCAGCATTTATTAGCTTGTGACAGGCTAACATGTTGGCTTGAAAGTAGTGTAAATCTCAGATCCTTCACAGGTCTTGACAGTATGTAGGTAACACAAATAAATGCATAAACAGCTATCTGAGTTCAGCTCAGAAATGTCAGTTTTTACCCATGATTTTCATTAAAAACTATATTATATATTGTATAAATGTAGCATCGGTTTTTCAAATTTTTTTCTACATTATAGTAAGTTTTTGGTATAAGTTTGCTATTTATATTTAATGAGAATTTTAAAAGCATAATAAACCATGTTTTTAGTGCACTAAAATTGTATGTGTGTTTATATAAACTTGTGTTTGGTTTGTTTTTGTTTTTTGAGATACAGTTGCACTCTGTCATCCAGACTGGAGTACAGTAGTGCAATCTCGGCTCACTGCAACCTCTGCCTCCGCGGTTCAAGCAATTCTCATGCCTCAACCTCCCGAGTAGCTGGGACTATAGTCACCTGCCGCTAAGCCTGGCTAAATTTTGTATTTTTAGTAGAGACAGGATTTTGCCGTTGTTGGCCAGGCTGGTCTCAAACTCTTGACTTCAAGTAATCCGCGCACCTCCACCTCGCAAAATGCTGGGAGTACACACATGAGCTACAAGCCACTGTGCCCAGCCCTGTGTAAATACATGTCTAGTTATGATTTTGCTTTTTTTGGGTTTTTTTGTTTTGTTTTGTTTTTGTTTTTTGAGGCAGAGTCTCACTCTGTCACCCAGGCTGGAATACGGTGGCGTCATCTCTGCTCACTGCAACCTCTGCCTCCCGGGTTCAAGTGATTCTCCTGCCTCAGCCTCCCTTGTAGCTGAGACTACAGTTGCATGCCACCATGCCCAGCTAATTTTTTGTATTTTTAGTAGAGACAGGGTTTCTTTTAAACATGTTAGTAGTAGACGGGGTTTCTACTAAACATAGCCCCATGTTAGCCCAGATGGTCTCTATCTCCTGACCTCGTGATCCACCCACCTCGGCCTCTCAAAGTGCAGGGATTACAGGCGTGAGCCACCGCACCTGGCCTAGTTATGTTTTTAAAAACAAATTATTGGTCTGCCTCATCACGTATTTATGAATCAGTTTTAATTCCATGAATGTCATAGTGATGTACTGTTTGCCTCTATTTCAGAATATTGGAAAGAAGATGACCTGTCAGGAGTTCATTGCCAATCTGCAAGGGGTAAATGAGGGTGTTGATTTCTCCAAGGATCTGCTGAAAGTAAGCATGGAACTATTGATTTTTAATGTACACTTATGTTTCTGTTTGCTGCTTACAGCTTAATCCTAAGTAGGCTAAGGATCACTTTAGTTTGCTTTTTGCTTTTAGTTTTACTCGTGATGTTTCTTTTAAGCCTTGTCCTTGATTTTTCATGCTGCAAAATACCTTAAGTTGATAATTTCTAGAAGTCTGCGTTATAATCAATAATACTGAGGTAAGTAAATTTGGAATGGTTGGTGATACAAATAGTGAGTGGCGGTTTTTGTTTGATTTATCTGTAAATAGACTATCAGAATTTGAGAAAGGTCACAAGGGTATATGCACTATGGAAACAGAGAAGCATTTGCAGGCTATAATGGAAACACTTCCAACTGTGTTCAATCCCTAGTCTCAGAACCACTCAGGTTGTCTCTGGAAATAGATTAAATTAAATTCTCAGTAATTGTAGAGTGCCTGAACTATTTGCATTTGGCTTTATTATTGGTAACAATCAGCATGTTTTTCCCCATCATCAGATTGTTTTCAAGGAGACAACAAAATCAGCTTTGGAATTCATGCATGCTCCAGCATGGGAAATGAGATGGGCATTTGATTGAGTACAAAATAATGGTAATATGAATATTTTGGGAATTGTAGGATAAGATGTGTACATTGAGAATGTGATTTTTATAGATCTCTGTTTGATTCTAGCCTTTTTAAAAACTTAGTACACGTATAGTTTTCTTTTGGAATCAATTTCTTTAAATGAATTTTCGAGAAAGGTGACATTTGAATCAGGTGTGGTATGGAATATATGACATGATATGGAAATGTTGAAAGACATGTCCTTTGTTATGTTTTATGTAACTTTTAAGCTATATAGAATAGAGTTCTGTCAGATTTGGAAAGACATATCTACTATGGTAAACGAAAGAAGCCATTGCGATGCAGTAATATGACATTCTTAGTCTTACTGACTTTATTTGCAGCACATTACAAAAAATTATGAAAAAAAGGCAGGAAGAAAAGTAGCTTTAATTTATGGAGTAAAGAAGGCATTTTTTTAGGTCCTTCATAGAGCAAATGCTGCCGTTTCTAAAGGTATAATTCCAAATGGGAGCAGGAGATAAATGGTGCAGGATTGTGACGTGTCAAAGATGTTTTATAGCTTCCATTAAATCCGGACGGTGTTAACAAGACTTTTTTCAGTCTAGTGGTATTTGCGTGGAAAATTACGGAGTCTCTCCAAGAGAGGATTTGTGAGGCTTTTATCAACTTATGTCAGAAATGAAAGTTGACAGGAAAATTTTCATAGTGAAGTTTTTAGAATTTAGTGCTAGGCTTATGGTAACCTGCATGACTACTGGCAAATTATTGGCTAATTTACAGCATGGTTGGTGGAGCTGTATTAAACCATGTATGGTTAATATGCAGTCCAGAGGCTACTGTTCACCTTGAGTGAATGTGTTCTTTGACTTCATCTACCAAGAATTTGCCAGATGATTTGTTGCTGTTGTGCAATGGGATTATGTTTGTAAACCTCGGGGAAAATGTGTATTATTTGGGTTTTTTTGTTGTTGTGAGAGGGTGATAGTGAAATGATACTGAAAATGGAGGTGTTTAGCATGGAGATTGTCAAGTGAAATATTGATTCTCTTCCATAACAAACCCCAGCCGCTCACCCATCCAAGATGGTTTTCCATTTCAATAGGAATGAGTTTTATTGAAAATTTCAGTAAGAAAAGGTTTTCTTTAAACCATGTTTGTTTCATTTCTCTATTCTGTGTGCTGTTCATTTTTCCTTCCCTTCCCTCCCTTTCTTCTTGACTTTTTGTCCTGGTTTCTTTTTATTTGTCTTTTCCTTTCTCTTTGGCTTTCTAGTTTTCTTTTGATATCTTTTTTTCTCATTCTCTTTGTCTTAGGATAGCTATCGCTGGATTCCCTGCTGAGATAAATTATTAGGTGGAATATGTACTTGAATGTTGGGGGAAAATACTGTTATATATGTGTTACACAGATACATACATACATAGAAACTTTTCAGTGTTTGGCGTCATCTTACAGGTTTTTTAATATCCTGGTCATTCTCTCTTTGCCACCTTTCCTATCTCCACGTGACAGGCGTGTGTGACATTCAGTTTTTTTTTTCATGAGATAAAAGGAAAAATTATGACCTTTATTAGGTTTCCTCATAATCATATATGGAAACTGCTAGATTCAGTATCAAAAAATGCTTAAAGTTACATAGATTAAACTGAGTTTTTCATTGTTACATATTGATCTTGATACTTTTAGATTAATTTGAATCAAAAGTAACATTTGGATTTATATCTGTTCAGATTTCTTTGGCCCAGAAGTAACATTTGTACTTTTATGTCTGTTGTTCTGTGTTATTTTGTAGTTGGGAACATTATTGAAGGTCTGCTGTGTGTTTACTAGGTGTTGTGGGATTGGAGAAGATGCTGAAACCAAATGGGCACCTGTCCTCAGAGATCACAGACTACTGAGAAATATTGGAGGGGTCTTTCTCCATAAAATGGACAGTTATTCCATGTCGAAATAAAAGTATAAGCCAAATTCTGTTTTGTTTTCTGAAGAGAAAGGGTTAAGGTCTAAAAGGTCTAAAAAATAGACCGTGACATATTTAAATGTATGAGAAATGAGAAACTTGTGTTAAGTCCTTTAATTCAGAGAATTTAATTAATATGTTGCTTCTGAATTTGCCTTATACTGTATTGAAGGGATGGATACATTGAGCCCTTTTTTTGGTTTAAAATTCCATTGCAGTTTTCGTTGTTTAGTCAGTTAACCTAAACCGATATTTGACTTTTTTCCCCTACAAGGTGCTTCAAGTATAAGATATGGATATCTGTAATAAAAGTGCAATAAGTTGGATATCAGAAGACAACCAGTGATAGGATATTATTTAGGTTCTTCAAAGCAGAAAGCTGGGAGGAGGTGATGTTTGAGATGGTGTATTAGTCCATTCTCCCACCGCTGTAAAGAAATACCTCATACTGAGTAATTTATAAAGAACAGAGGTTTATTTTGCTCATGGTTCTGTGGGCTGTACAGAAAGCATGATGCTGGCACCTGCTTGACTTCTAGGGAGGCCTCAGGAAACTTAAAATCATGGCATATGGGAAGGCAGGCACATCTTACATGGCCAGAGCAGGAGGAAGAGAGGGAGGAGGGAGATACTACACACTATTAAATAGCCATAGCTCAGGAGAGCTCACTCATCATCATGAAAACAGCACCAAGGGGATGGTGCTAACCCATTCATGAGAACTCTGCCCTCCTGATCCAATCACTTCCCACCAGACCCCATATCCAGTACTGTGGATTATTATCCAACGTGAGATTTGGTGGGGACACAAACTATGTCAAATGGCCTTTTGAAGTATAGGTAAAAGACTTACTTGTTATCTTGGTTATTATTCCATTGCACTTCCTGCCCCTTCTTTCACCCAAAGACATTCTCATATGTACCCCTCTCAACTACATGATCAAATCAAGACAGTAATTCATTTAACAAAATAGACCAGATCATCTGGTATGATTGACATAGTACAGATAAACACAAAAAAGTCTGTTATTGTCTTACAAGTTTCTGAATAACACTGTGATCATGTTTCTACGGGCTCCGCCCATCCCAGCGGTTGGATGTGGTTTGTATTCAAGCATCCTTGGGACAATGTGGAAGAGAAAGGGGAGGTTCTGCTTTGGGTCTGACAGATTTAGTAAAACATTCCTAAGGCTCTAATAAGTATTACAGCTGCGAAGGACGTGAATAAAGAGGGATAAGAATGGAGAATGCAGGCTAGCTCTGTATTGTAGGCTGTGTTTTGAAGGACAGTATAGTATGAGGATTGAGATTATGATTTGAGAGCTGTACTTGACTAGGTTCTAATACCAGGTTCTATCTCTTAATAGTCAGGGGACTATGTCAAGTAAATGCTGTATTTCAATGTCCTCATCTATAAAATGGGAGATTTTATTAGTACCCACGTCATTTGGTTGTTTCAATACTTGAATATATATGTGTGTGTGTGTGTATATATATATATACAGCTTTTAGAGTCCTCACATATAGTAAGTACTGTCTGTTAACTATTAAAACTTTTTATTTTTGGTATTATTTTACTTAGCCTAAAGTGGGCTGGAATGGGACCCTATCCCTTCCTGCAGGTACCTGGGTTTAAGATTTTTTAGAGGCAAGTGAGATTAGTGGAAGTAGTCGAAACCTCTCCCCACCATCCCTTTTTAGCTTGCTGCTTTCCAAGGATACATACCCTCTGCTCTTTGAAAGGAACCACCTGTGACGTTGACCTGAAAATGAACCTTGCTTAACCCTTACCTTTTTACCTTGTTAACAGCCTCTTTCTCCTGGGTCTATCCCTTTTCCATTTTTATACCTTACATTTGGTTTGCGTTTTTAGTGACTTCCGTCTTTGATGCTGCAAGAGGGGAAGTACTTAGGGTACATTGGCTCTTGGACTGGTCTTGGAATTTTGAAAAACCTTTGAAGAAGCAAACTAGTTCATACTCTCCTAAGATCCCAAGATGATCCTAGGATATTGGAGATGTGAATTATTTGAAATGATTAAAATATCCCTGGGGGAAACAAGGGTTGCTAGAGAGCTGCCTTCCAAATGGAGAGGCCTTGGTCTGAAGGATCAGGTCCGGGAGTTGTTGGGATTCTGCTTTGTCTCGCCGCGATTTTTATGGACTGTGTCAGCCTGGCAACGTCTTTTACTCAGTCTCATCGGTGGCTGATAGCAACGAGTGAAGTGTTAGCTTTTGATTATGTGCCTATTTCTGAAACTCTTCACTCTGTAGAATAACCTTTGAAAATTCATAACAGCCTAGATATGGAATCAACCTAAATGTTCATCAGCAGATGAACGGATAAAATGTGGTAGATGTGTACAGTGGAATACTATTTGGCCTTAAAAAGGAGGAATTCTGTCATTTGTGACATCGCTAAATCTGGCGGACATTATACTAAATGAAATAAG